GGGGGGGGGGGGGGGGGTTGGCAGTCGCCGAGGCCAAAGAAAGAAAAAAAGAGTACTGTCACAAAACACATGACGGTTGCTACAGAGACCGTTATAGGGCAAACGATGCGCCCTGCTATCGACGAAAAAACTGAATTCATCTCACTCACCAAATGTATATCAGACGTTTCTCTCACAATAAGTTCAAACACGTGGCTTTGATTTGCGATCCGGGCTTCGTGAGCCCCCCGGCTTCCAACGACGCACACATTGAAACGATTTTTTTTCACACGATCCGCTTACACTACCTCTTCCATGTGCAGGTCGGGGTACTCTCCACCGACTACCACAATGTACTAAAATAGAGTCGTGCCTCGTACGTTCCACCAATAAACTCTGCAGGCCCCTTGAGTCGACTTTGTGTGGGTGCCCTTGAGAAGACGGGCTTCTCTTAAGAATCGCGCGCGATGTAAACCTGGCAGGCACAAGAGAAGAAAAAACACCGCGGGGAGAGGAAGGGACGCATGGTCCATCTTTCACCAGAATGTTATCTTGCAGAAACAGAGAGCGAGAGCGAGAGAGAGAGAGGATGCGCGCATGAAAAAAAATTGAAAAGAAACACAGCTACTGCTGTACCATGGCATGTAGTGCAAGGGAAGGAAGCATGAGAGAGACAGCAGCGACCGGATGACGGTTTGAGGAGAGACACAACACAAAAAGCACAGGGTCGACTCCCAATAGTTACGAAATAAGAAAATGCACGATGGGTGCCCCCCCCCCCCCCCCCCCTCATGCTTGAGCATTTTCTATGCCTGTGCATGTTTATATCTAACAATATCGCACAAAAAGAAATGAACAGATCATTATGCATCATAGGCCACAAGTAACCCCTAAAATATAGATATTTCGGTATGTTCTCAGAAATGTAACATATAACATAGTGCATTCTCCCCCTCCTTTCATGCTTGGACCGTTCCTAGCCCCCCCTTTTACCTGTTCAACTTATATTGTTCTTACCCTAGCTCGACTGAATATGGCCTTGGCCTCATCGATCTCCTTTAGCTTCTTGTTCAGGTCGTCCACCCGGCGCTGCAGGAGCGGGGTTTGCACCACCAGCGGGAACTTGTTGAGCTGGCTTTGGCAGGACGATTCGTTCTCCTGGAACACCGCGAGACCGTGGTGTACGGCACGGTATGTAATCCGGTTCGGGACGGAAGAACGTCATCGTCGTCGCATGCCGGAGGCGGATTGAAGTATCACCAGCANTGAGAGCGATAAATCGGGGCATGTAGCCGCGGGAAAGGGATCTGATGACGTTGGCGGTGTTGTCTTCACGTCACAGAACCGTTCCGGTGTCTGCCCCGTACCATCTAACATCCGTATCGTGCGTATCCACCTGACGCGGCCGCCTTCCGTGGTCACAGGCCGACTACCCGAAAAAGGGTGCACAGGTCAGGTCGTCAGATCAACGACAAACAGGGTTGCTTTTGGGCGAGGCGTAAACAGAAACAACGTACCTACACGCACGTGTACCACAAGCAAAACACGCGACAACCTAGGCGAGGGAAACATGTTTTGAGAAGGATACAGATGGCACGACAACAATACATGTTCACGGGCGGAGCGTGGGGTGTAGTAGCCGTAGATGTCCGTAGATTCCGCACACCCCGGACCCATTCTGAAAGCCTGCCTGTTTTCTCTGCAGCACCAACACCGACCGTGTTGAAAAGGGTGGTGTTGGAGGAGCCTCCATGTCGAGAGCTTTCCACAAACTAAAAAACCACAATGTTGGACTGACTCCTCTTCGCTGTCGATGTGGATTAGACTGATGGTATGGTATGGTATGGTATGGTATGGTATGGTATGGTATATCTTCGCAACCTACGGGACACACGTACGTACACAAATACCTGTAGCTGCCTCAGTCTACGGCACACACGTACAGAAGTACCAGTAGATGTCTCAATGCTTGCAACCTACAGCGGTACACACGTGCCCACATACCCCTGTCGCTGTTCAAAATATCTCTATATATATATTTTTTTTTTTTTTTGCAAAGAACACAACGAAGCCATCTTTTACAAAGAGGGGAGTCCGAGGTATAACAGATGTTGGCAACCTACGGTACGCCGTACACCTGTAGCTGTCTGAGAGTCTGCAGCCTCTCCTCCTCCGGCATTAGCTTCATCCCGGGGGGGCAGGACGGGTCCGGCGCTTCCGCCTTTCGACGGTCCGCTTCCCTCTCCCACTGCTCCCGCCTCGACACCAGGTACTGCGGCACCTGTGCGCGCGCGTGTGTGTGTTGAATGGGCGATGAATGCCAACCCGGAGGATGTGGGAAAGCGTGAGGAGTACGAGTGAGGATCAGAGGGGGGCATGGGGGAGAGAGAGAGAGAGAGAGAGAGAGAGAGAGAGAGNAGAGAGAGAGAGAGAGAGAGAGAGAGAGAGAGAGAGAGAGAGAGAATAATTTTTTTCTTTCCGCAAAAATGATCTATCTTAGAGTTTGTAGTTTGTTTGAGATCAGCCTGTGACCGCATCACGGAAGGTGTTTTTTTTACGGAATAGAAACTGCGGGTGTTGCCATGATTCCCAGGCTGTTACGTTTCCCCACGCGGCAACAAGTCCATCCTCACCAACTCCAACACCAACACCAACGATAACGACAACAATGACAACAACGACACAACAACAACAACAACGCAACAACAACAACAACAACAACAACAACAACAACAACAACAACAACAACAACAACAACAACAACAACAACAACAACAACAACAACAACAACAAAAACAATATGGTAGAGGCAGCGAAAGATACAACGAAAAAAACAGGAAACAGCCCTCATGACTCACCCTTCCGTAGCTATCGTGCGTGAACGTCGTGTCCCGCTCGGACACGTCCTTCGCCTTCATCTCCGCAGCCTTGAAAAAAAAATAAAGACCAAGGAATCACCCCCCCATAAAATAAAACGACATGACAACAGTTAAATGGGATTACGAGTCTTATTGCTGGAAGAAAGAAAGAAGGAAATCAACGAAGATGGGAAAAACGGTCACGCATGTATGTAAAACGAGTTATCCTGCGAATATAGACATGGGGCAGTTAGTTCATACGCGAACGGAAATAAAACAGGTCAAACACTCGCACGTTCGTCTCACTGGAACATTCCACGTACTGTCCCTAACGCTGAGCGGCGGGAGATGGCTACTTGTGGTCACACCCTCCTTTTTTTCAATGCGAAAACACAACGCCACTCGGCAAGTCATGTTCGTAGATCAGCAAAGGGGAGAGCACAGATGATGAACACATGGGGCTGGCTGTCTATCGCTTTGGCAGCGTGTGCATCGGCGTACGCATAGGTTCAGTGGCGGAACGAAAAAAGTTTTAAAGATGGTCAGGACAGCAATAGAGGCACACATAGGGCAGAATCAATACAAGGTATGTCGTGCGGCCCGCGTATCTGTCCAACCTTCCTAAGTACACAAAATGAACAGAAGCTACACAAGGTATATTTCAAGCTGGAGACATGGACAGGATGCTGTTGCCGAGAAAGAGAAAACGACCACAATCCTCAAAAGACCGTACAACAACACTAGGCATGACCCCGTGGTAGTCGCATACTCCCCTCCCCCCACCTGCATCCGATTCGCAGCCACGAAGTCCCTGTCCGATCGCGGGGCTAGCTGCGCAACGTCCCCCGCTCTAGGCACCGCCTCCTTTCTAGGCGTAACCCCACAGCCGCCGCCGCCGCCGCCGCCGCCGCCGAAGCGGTCGTCCGCCGCGGAGCCCCCTGCGGCACCCCCCCACCCCCCCGCCCTCGGCGGCTAGAAGAAGGAGAAGAAGCCCCTTCCTCGTGTCTGGTGAGGCTTGGTCGGTCCTCCCGACCGTGCGAGCCGCCTCGCGAACCTTGTCAGTTTGTTTTTGTTGAAAACATTACGGTCGATCACAACGTTATGTACCGTGTTTTTTTCAGAGATGAAACACGTAGACTGCATTACGAACATGCACACATTCATGCAGGCCAACGTACATACGCGCGTGTAATTTGTAATGACCACCCCCGAGAACCAACGTCAAAACTTGGACTGGTGTCTTGTCGACAGAAGTTAAGTACATCAGCAGACTCTTCGTCATGGCCTCTTTCACCATGCAACGAGCTCATATTCCAAGGTTCAGCTCCGGTCGAGCGTTCGGGGATCATCGAGAGAGTTCTTCCCCATCTCTGTACTCCGAACCGAGCAACAAATGAAACAGTTAGCAGCAGCAGCAGCCGCCGCCGCCGCGGCAGCAGCAGCGCCACAAGCCCATCTCGCGACTTGACAGCAGCAACACAAGGAAGGGAAGCAAACGCAACGGCATCCCCACCGGTGCTTGCCACAGCAGCACCAGCGGCGTCGGCTCTGTACCTGAACCACCGAAGGTGGCACCGCTATCGGAAGAAGCGCAGTTCGGCGGCGGCGAAAGGGTCGACGGTCTGTACGTCGTCCCTGTCGCCCCGAACAGCTTCGATCCCGTCGCCGTTACCGCCCCCGCCGCGTTGTTGTTGTTCTCTTGCCGCCGCCGTACGGCCGCTTGCCGCAACTCCGTTGCCACCTGGGGGGGGGGGGGGG